ACAAAATAGGTTGTAGCGCCTCTTGATTGTCTCCTTTCAGAAGCTGACACGAGAGCACGTACGCATCGACGTCTTTCTTCATGTTCGGCCAGTATGCTTGCTGTCTAAGCAAATCATAGGTCCTGGTGCACCCGGTGTGAGCCATCTCGTGACACGAAATAATCAACTTCTTCCTCAATTTGAGAGGGTTCACCGGCACCGGCGTAGCATCGCGTCCTTGTGTCCACATCAGAATTCCGGCTTCGTCGACATGCAGATTTTCCAGACTCCGTGTGAATGACCCGAATTGCTGGCTCTGGTTTTCGGTTGCAGCATTTTGGTTCGTTATTCGTGCTGTTATCATTGTTCAAAAGTCTATTCTTCCGTTGTTCAGCCGCTAACCTACTCGGGTCCTGCTCCAGTACTAGACCACCGACACCGAAGGCAACACGGCAAATCCTCCTCGTTCGTCACGCGTGATAGAAAATCTGCCGTCTCGTTGTTTTTTCCCGGTATGTGGTTTATCGTAAAGTTGTATTCTTGTAGGCACAGCGCCCATCGCACCAACTTGCCTCTGGGGTCTCTGGAGGACCTAATCCATTCCAGTGGTTTGTGATCGGCTTCGATATGAAACCGTCGACCAAACAAATATGGTCACCACTTGTCTAGAGCCCACACAATTGCAAGACTCTCCTCCACCGTCGAATACTTGCGTTCTGATGGGGTCAAAATTCTACTAGCGTATTCTACCGTGCCTTGCTTCTGCTTCAGCACCACACCGATTCCGACGTCGCTTGCCTCTGTGGCCACAGTGAACGTTTCCCTGGAGATCAGCAATTTTAGAGTCAGCTCCTTTCTGCCCATCTCCTTCTGAATGTCATCAAACGCCCACTGAGCCTCTAATGTTCAAGTGATCTTCTTTCCTTCGCCTAACAGTTCATGCAAAGGTGACGCCAAGCTTTTAAAATTCCTGACAAATTTACTGTAATATTCAGCTCGGCCCAAAAATGACCGGAGACGGCGCTTTGAGGTCGGAACTGGAGTGCCTCGAATTGCCTATACTTTCTCCGGCAGTGGCTTGAGTTCATCCTGACCCATCTTGTGACCAAGTAGTGACACAGACATCTTCCAGATTTGAGATTTCGGCCCATTTATCCGTAATCCAGACTGCTGAATTTTTGCAGCGTTGGTTCTAGATGACGGTAGTGTTCTTTCTCCGATTCACTATGCACAACTATGTCGTCACCGTATACGGTCACATTATCTAATCCATCCAGTAGTCGCAGCATCGAACGCCGGAAGGTAAAACGGGCACCAGATAATTTAAACGGCATCCTTTTAAGCTGGTACTCTTTGTCACCGACTGTAAACGCTGTCTTCTCGGTCCTCTTGTTTGATCACCAGCTGCCAGTAGCCCGACCTCAGATCCAGTATCGTAAATATCTTTGATTTCTGCAGTTTATCAAAAATGTCCGCGACTGAAGGCACCGGGATGAATCGACTCAGCGATATTTTGTTCAGCCTTCTGAAGTCCACGCAGAAGTGGTACTTCCTGTTGGCTTTCTTCAGCAAAACGATTGGAGAGTTATATGGGCTGTGAGCCTCCTCTATTACGCCTGCATTCAGCACCTCCTGCACCTGCCTTCTGACCTCAGCTTCCAGGTGTATTGGTACTCTTCTGGGTCCATGCGGCCGATACGGCTGATAGGATAGTGGAATTGTGTGTTCGACCCAGTCACAAAACCCATATGGACTATTATCGTCCGTGAATAGGATGTCGTACTTGCTCACAAGCGATTGAAAAGCTGGACTTGTGTGTAAAACGGCCACGACCGAGCACACCCTCATGGGTTATTCTCTGCCAACAAGCTGGATAGCTCCGTATTTCGTAACCAGCTTTCCTCGTTTCAGGTCGACGATTTGCTTCACTGATTTGAAGAAAGTCAGCACCCAGCATAGTCTGCTTTGTGTCCGGCGACACGATGGAGAGATGTTTTAACTTCGACCCCTAACGCCAACGACATGTTCCACCATTCCATCTATGCGTATATGGTAACCACCGACCGCCTTCACAACCATGGAACACGATTGTGTTTTCACCCCATCTCTGTGACTGATTAAGGAAACCGGCTCCTGTATCAATCAGACACCTCTCCACTTTCCCATTCACCTATACCATCGCCTCAATCGCACCTTTATTCCACGCTCCAAGGATGCACTTCCTAACACGAGAACATTACGATTGATAGCATTTATTTCGTGCAAAGGCTGTACTGCGATTTGACGGACATTGGCGCTTCCAGTGTCTGTTTCCCAGAAATGAAGCAGCGTCCCTTCAGCAGTATCTTCTGTGAGGGAACTTGAATTGCCCCGATGTCTTGCGTAATCTGTTCCAGTCTCTCTTCTGACTCGTTCAATCCCTTCTCCTTTGTTTTGTTTTCCGTTGTCAAAGCAGCAACTGTTTCATGTGTAAGCTCCGTCGCTACTTGGGCAAGCTCCATGACACCAGTTCTCTGGGTGGCGTTTACAATCCGGAGACGATCGGCTATCGTCGGAAGACCATTCAAAAACTGTTCCACCAACAGGTGTTATCTTGACTCGTCATCCAAGTTAGGCAGCGCGCGGGCCAGCAATTCACTGATGCGGACCGCGAAGATGAACGGGTGCGCTCCCGCTCCAAGCCTTGAACCGCCGCATCGCGTCTTGGCGGTCGGCCGGGCTGTCGAACCCCGCAACCAGTGTCTCCTTCGCGGCGGCCCATTCCAACTTGACAGGGCACCTTCGTGCCGCATCCAGAATAGCCTTCGCCTTGCCCTTGAGGAGGCTCCGCAGGGCAGCCAACTTCGCCCTGTCCTGCTTCACCCCGACTGTCTCTGCAACTCCATCGGTGCTTCAAAAACCGTACATCACCATCCCCAAAGGGCTCTGGCCACGGAATCTTCATTTCCCATTTGCAGTTGATCACAGCATCAAATGTTGAAAACGCAACGAGGGGCGGACAAGCTGTTTACTGACGAACGCGTCTGGTTAACATATTAACTCGAACATAGGAACGCGAATCCACTTTGCGCATGACGTTCGTGGCACCTTTCCGGAGAGATACGCCGTTGCAACCTTTCATTCACTGAGCATCTGTCTAGATTGCCTCGTGTACGTCGTCCGGTTGATTTTCCACCACACCTTCGTCTGTCGGCATCTCATGATTTACTTGCTTCCCTTGTGCGCCCTCGTTGATATCCATACTACTCAGTGTCTACAGTATTTTTGATGACTGGTGGGGCTTTGTTTTTGAATACCCTTCACGTTAACCTTTTTGGTTTATTCAACTTACATCTTGTACAACATTTCAAGTAGATGACGGTAGTACGGTCCGGCCCATTCACCTTAGGTTTGTTTACTCGCACCATATCACTTTAATGTGAGCTTTATGATTTAGGGACATGGTCACTGCTCATGGAAGCCAATAAGGAGCTGCTCTTCCTTGACCACCGGCGTCTGCGACCATTTTCTTCTCGCCGAGGGAACACTATCTAGTGCTGATAGACATGAGGTGTATACCACTCAATACACCGCAATCCACGGCCGGTGTCATACTTTCTGATTTGCGCTCACCGGGTAGATAAAGCACGGCTGCGACTTAGACACAGTTATGGACTGTCGCCTTGTTCGATGTTCTTTGGGTTGATTAGCGACTTAGCCGGCTGCGGCATGGTTTCTTATTGTTTCAATTACGGTAGTTCCAAGTACCCATCGATCCCATATTGGAGTTGGTCCCGCTTATGCTTATCTACAGCTTCTACTCAGTTGAAGTGTTAGTGTTTTTGAAATGACTTGTTGACGAAGCCCGGTCAAACTGTCACTATTTTTCCGGAAAAGTGCTGGACATCCGTTGTCGCTCTGCTTTGTATCAGTACAATCGGTTCTATGCCATCATTGTACGAGCATCGGTTTATCAGTCCCAACATATTCAAGAGTTAGCCACGTGCATGTCTGCAGAGCTTGCTGCCTTCCTCTCTAGATCTGCTTCACCTCACCTTGAAATGTGGAAACTTATCCAGCCTTTCTTTTTGCTCCGGTATATTTTATTTCATTCCCACTGTTACTGAAATACTTTATCCTCACCAGATCAAACTTCTTTGTGATTGCTTACACAGCACGCTGACCAAGTGTTTTATTAAACCAACGTTTTAGATGAACGAACAGTTCATCTATTAAAGTTTGGAATGTGTAAAACTCATTTGTGCCCCCTAATATTGCATCTAGCGATTAAGTAATTTCGTTGCTTAACTGGACAAGGCGCTGACAGACCTATAGTTCCGCTATAAAACGCTCAGAATAAAGATAATTGGCCCTCGGATTACTTCGATTCAGGTCGACTTCATTGAAATCAAGACACGACGATTTGTTCTCCCGATGCAGTCGCCCTTAGCGTTCTTCTCAGGAAGCCAATATTACTCCTTTCGTTGTACACGTTCGTTATCACTGTTATTGGAAGCCACCGGAGAACACAACTACCAGAGCTGTGAACTCAAGCCGTCGCACATCTGTGGAGGCTGCGGTCGTTGATAGGCGAGAGTCAGCCTCAGTTGTGCCGTGTTGTGTGCCTCTTTTCCACAGCCCCGTTCCTCTTCCATGCGGTCTCCGTCCTATCAAATGGGTTGCTTATTGAAAGCAAACCGTTCCTCTCTTAGCTCTTTTCGATGACTCGAATGCTTTTTTCCTTTCTGGAAGGACGCAACGCCCGAGGTTTTTTTGCATCAATCCAGCAGATAAACACGTTTTCGTGCATGAACGAACGCTAGTGCTCTCGGTAGCACCTATCTTACAATATTTTGGGCTTTTCATCCGTCGAGCGGTTCTGTTTTGAGTGTTCTGCTTATTTCCGAGTCTTCCTCTGCAGAACGAACTATTTCTTAGAGATTACTATGCTCTTGCCCGTTATCACCAAGAAATCACTTCAGTTTAACTCGTTCATGATTGCTCATGATAACGAACCCGTTATCTCGATGTTTGAATTCCAGATCCGTCCGCTTCCGAATACAGAGGTGATGACACGGAGGGTTTGGTCCAGCGGCTTTTTGGCGCACGAACTGTTGCTGATGTTTACCGCCCTCTGACCGAGAAAGAAGAGAATGACATTGGCCAATTCCTTGACGAGTTGGCAACGGACTCTTCGCAGCTTAACGCAGCACAACTGACAGAAATGTTGCAAAAGGAGTTGACAGATGTGGAGGGAGTGAGTTTAAATTGCTTTCTCACCCATTGTCTACGCATGTATCTTTAAAACACCGGTTGTCTATAAACATCGTTCAGCGGTGTCTTTTCAATCTCAATTACAGGATGCTGCCGTCCTCCTAAGACACGGCCTTCTCCATTAGTTCGTTTTAGAGCGCTGCATGTTGCTGCGTCCATCAGTTACTTAGATACCCGCCACTGCACTGTTAGGCAAAATTTTTGCGCCCTCGTTTTTCTTTTTCCTTCTCAATTGCCATCTACCTGCTTGTGCGCATAGATCACATGCTCCATTTTCCTGCACTTAGTGTGTGCTTTTGTTATCAAAGTGCTCTGTGTGGCGGAAATCAGACGTTTTGTAGCCCTCAAAGGAGCATATCACCCTTAGAAGGCAACTCGAAGAATATCTTTTTCTTAATCAAAGTAGCTACAGCAGCTTCCGTCTCACGGATTTGGCTGTGCTACTTGATAAATTTCCGAGGGTAGCCACTAGCAATTGGCGTGTTGTTACTTAGTTCTAGTTCATCGACCAGACAATCGGTCGAACCTACTCCTCTGGCGCGAGTAAATAGGGTCTTCATAGGCGTTCGCTTGTGCCGCATTGGCGTAAAGCTGGTAAAATGCAGATACTGTCCCGACCGCGTTGTTTTTCTGTAGACAGCCTTTTTGCCAGTCCATTGTCTCCAAATCTGGAAGACAGTTCTGTTGTTCGACTTCGCAAGAAACCTTCAAATTGACATGCGAGGAGGTAAAGCGCGTTACTAGCTGTGTGAGCTGCATTTCTGTTGAACAGAACACCAAGATATCGTCTACATAACGTTTGTAATAGGGCAAATGCGCTATTTCTTCGGATAGGCTTCGTTCTTTCATCGGCATGAAGAAATCCGCTAGTGGACTGCCCATGGCCGCCCCATCAATTTTGCGATACGGTGTGTTTCTGAAGTGGAAATCGACATTCCCTGTGCATAGAAGTAAAAATTCTCTTAAGAATGCAACCGGCGTCGGCAACGAACATCCGGAACTTCCTACCAATTCGCAGATGTAGTCAACGGTCTGATGTAGCGGCACGTTAGTAAACAAGGATTCCACATCTAACGAATACATCACCTTATCGGACGAGTTCATTTTTTCGAGGTCTTCGACAAACTCGACGGAATCTTTGAGGCCATATCGATTAAAGTAAGCTATTAGCGGAGAAAACACATTAACTAACCAGCGAGCTAATTTACGTTGGGTGCGTTTGTCATCGAGAGGACCGGTCTGAGCGACACTCTACTTTTGTGCGTTTTTGGAAGTCCATATATCTGCGGCGTAGTTGATCCACTCTGCTTTAAACTCATAAGTAGCGCTGTGAATCACATGTTACTGACGAAGCATTTCTAAGTGGCGAACAATGCGGGATTAGAAAGCAGTCACATCCCCGCCTACTCCAAGCGTTTACATTTGTTAGTGTCACTGAGTATGACGCTCATCTCGATGTATTCATCGCTGTTCATGACTACAACTCCTGAGCCTTTATCCGGCTTCATTACAGCGGCATTCTTATCGCGCAATTCACGTAACGCTCGTAGATATCTGTTCGTAAGCGCGCACTTTCCGTTTATCGGCGCATTTTTTATTTCATAGGCAATATCGATCAGTTTGTTTCTAAACCATATACTTTTGTCAGTATTAGTTGGTTAAAGGTCCTTCAACTGTTCAAAAAAGTTCTAAAACTAAGTCTCAATGAACAATCGCATCAATCGTCTAGGAGGCACTCTGTAATCTAGCCCGAAAGACGATGCTTCTAACTGTAGTGCATCAAGGTTCACATTTGATAGATTCACTACATACTTACTGGAGTCACGAGTACATGGTTCCTCGTCATAATTGTTCCTATGTAACTGTGAGCTAGTTATATAAGCCGAGCCAATAGAATACCGCGTTCCCGAATAAAAGAACATGTACCAAAATGGGTTCAAAGCGGGAGTATTCAGCAAGCAAGCATAAGTCAGAATACGTGTGTGCACAGGCCGCCGGTGTCTTTGATCGGCAGGCACTTATTGACATTGGGTCTCCGAATTGAAGTCAACAAAGCGTTTAGGATCCTGCTTTGCCATGCCAATTCCCGGCTCCTCCGGTTTGCCGAGGCTATTGCCATTAATCGGATTGAGCCAGTGTTTTGGATGCAAAAGTATTTATCGGTCAGCCTCATGCTGCCCTGTTTGTAGAAGAAACACACCCGCTTTTTCTCTTTTTTGTTTGTATGTACAGTTAGTCCGGCGGAAGAAGGCCGATAACCGCATTCCAGAATGGGCAGTGCGCTTCATTGACCTACCGTGGCTCGCTTATGGTGACTGCTGGTCATTTACGGTTGTTATCCATACCATCCCATAGCCCTTTCCAACGTTTACGCATTTTGCAAAATGCATACTGCCTGTGGCGCACGCGTGCAGGAACATGAATTTCTCTCTTACCTTAGTGGGGAGGACATGTGGAATTCTCGGCAGACGAGTGATTTATTGCAGGGATCAGCTGAGTGCAAGCCTAAGCTGATGAAGGATGAACCGACAGGCCACATTGGCCTGTTTTGGTCATCGAGCGAGATGCGTACAGCCACAAGTTGTTTCTAGCGGGCGTTAGCTGTCAGCCAACTTCGCGCTGAGTGCTGTAGGTCATGGCTAATCGTATGCCCTGGAGTGATCGATGGTTATCTGGGTGTTTCGCTGGCCAAAGCGAAATCGCCAGCTACCCAGGCAAGTCGGCGTAAGCAAGCTAAACCACTCAATCAAAACTGCGACGTGAATGTGCGCACGTGATGGTATCTCAGCGAACCGGGTGTTTTGCATTAGGTGAGGTCAATCTTAGGCAGTGCACGCCTGAATTGCGTATTATACATGGAGGCGAACACACGCACTGGGCATCTGTCGGGTAATGGAGTTGTCGAATTGTCCGAATGCCCATTTCAGCAGTCCGACGTGTTGATTATCAGTTTTCCTTGATTTTTCTGATTGTTGGTAACAACTCCAGTCGTCCTTAACCAGCACGCCCAACTGGCGTTCGACGGAAGATCGCCGCAGTACTTGCGTTCCGAGCGTGTAGCAGTAGGTACTCTACTGGTGTATGGAGTGTACCTTGCATTTGCTCACATTGAAATTTTGTAGGTTTTCGTTTGACCACTTCTGTACCATGTCCCAGTCATGCTGCATGATATCTAGATCGGCGTGGTTGAGTCCCTGCGTTGGGGTAACAGAAGATAAAAGATCATCTGGTAGTAAGACCCTCTTAAATGTTGATTCATATTGCCTTTGTGGATGCTATGACTCAGTGTGTGACACAGCTACATTTCTGGGAACAACTGCAATAAGGCGAGGACTACTCTATGCATCTGAGACTTGACCAGTTCGTACGGAAGACTTTAAACGGTTGCCCGTCTTTGTCACCAGGTCTCAAGCAGTATTGCACGCATCTGGTGGGAACACAGCGCGGGCAGTGCTGAAGTTCGCCAGTTGATTTTTTGAAAGAAACCCTCCGGTGCCTCACTTCAGTGTTTGTTGTAGTTGAATCGCTAATGTTGGTTGGGTCATGTACTCCGTACACTAGTAAACCGCCTTCCTCGGCGAGCATTATACGCCGTCGCTGCATCAAATTGTTTGAAACCACGAGTTGTTCAATCGATGACGTGGCATGGGGGTATGAAGAGATTGTCCGAGAGACTTAATCAGGCAAATATCTGCCGTTTTCGTGGATGGGGACCTCGTGTTAGTCCAAACCAATGGTTAGAGACTCAATCGGACGTGGCACATTGTCAGAGTCAGTGCTGCCTCTGCATTCGTTCTCTTGCGTTTACCTGTTCATACTTCAATGCGATTAGCTTCGTGAACCTCGTTCTTGCTTCCATTCTGCTAATACCATATTTAAGTCTAATTGCATTTACTTATCATTGTTCCTTATTGCCAATCTGGCGGCGCTAGTCATGGCAACTGTATCCACGGCACTTTGATGCCCGGATCATGGTTTATCAACTGTACTGAACTGAACTGAAACAACCGGGTAATGTTTAAGTATCGTAGGTTATTTAGGTAAGAGAAATTCCAGATAGAACTTGGCTCACTTAACATGAAAGCAAAATACTGAAACGATAAAATACCCCTCTACTAAGTCGTTATTATTCCTAATGTGAAAGCTCTAGTTGAAAGTGATACCTTTTTTCCTACGGTGGTTCTTTGGAGGTTAGTTCTCAGTCTACCGGCGTGCCCACCATAACTGTTTTAACATCAGCTTTGATACAAATACGGTCACATCGACAATTTATGGCTCAGGTGTACTCAGTACTTGGAACATAGCGAACATAGCTGGGGTCAAATAGCGGCCGTTGTGCATCACGTGTACATTCGTCCGGCAACGCGATGTCCAATTTTTACCACAGTAGACCCTATACATAACGGTAACTTCAGTGCTAAGGCTAAACATCGGTCAGTACAAAGCCCACAGGCATCCAGTTTTCCCTCGAAACATTCTGTCCTCAAACCAGGACATATCGATCGTTCAAGCATCCATAGTCCGCGGCTCATCGCGTGCAGCTCCGTGCAATGTGGGGTACGCAGACGCCGCGCATGTGTGCCTAGTGCATCCTGTGAGATCCGATTGGATCCCCGGACTGCCGTTAGAATTCTTTGGGGTTTTCTCAGGACGCGCAACATGCAGCAATTTACGGTGCGTCAATGAAAATTGGTAGACATCCTGGACGCACCATAGGGTGTGATATGTGGCTCAATTTGACTACACTGCTTAAGTCACGTGTGAACTGATGCACACCGTCGGCTAACATATTCCGCAATGTTCGGTTTGCGTTAGTTGGATACTACTCTTGCATTCATGAACGGTCTTGAAGAACTCATTCGTGTCAGCATTGATTTGTTCCGATGCGGTATCAGCCTGTCGCACCGTCGAGTAACAAATCATTTACCTACTTATTTAACGGTAAATGCAGTGCTGGCATGGGATGGCAGACAAAAATATTAC